TTGTTCAAAGTAAAACTGTTATCAAAGAGACAAAACTGAAAGTCATATAAATGCTTCCTAATTACTATGTTAACATGGTTTTTTACATGATTAAAAGATTAAAATAAATAAATAAAACTAATTTTGATTAGTACTTTATAAAACTTGGTTCATTAAATTGATTGATACTTTAGAATAATTCATTAGAATAATTAAAACGATACTCTACTGATCATACTTGACTACATTATACTTGACTGCATCATACTTGATTGCATCATACTTGACTACATCATACTTGACTGCATTATACTCAAGACTACACCATACTTGACTGCATCATACTTGATTGCACCAATCTTGAATGCATCATATTTGATTGCATCATACTTATTTAACTGAATGGATAACTAATATCTTATTTTTATTTTTTTTCATTTTTTATTAATAAAGTTATTGTATGATTTTCATGAAGTTATTAGCAGGTCAATCAAATTTAAAAGTATTATCAGGTCAATAAAATTTAACTGAATTGCTTGAATAGTTCAAATTATCAGAAATAACAACTGTAGTCACTAGGCTTCTATTTGTTCTAATGAGCTTCATTCTACAGAAAAAGTTTTTTGTAAAAAAAACTTTTTCTGTAGAATGAAGCTCATTCTACAGAAAAAGTTTAAAACTGCTACTTGGATCATTTTTTTTATCTATCTTTTTCCTTTTCTCTAAATGCTAAAAAAAAATAAGTACCATATCACAAATTTCATTAAACAGACTTAAGGCTTTGCCTTTTTTAAATATTTTTTTCTAGGTTCTATTATATTGCATAAATTTCCCTCAATAGTACTAGGTAATATTGTATTGCTTTTGACATGTTTTTGATTCAGATTCACAAATTGAAAAACTAAAATTTCAAACAATTTTACCAATTATACAAAAGACTTGTAAGCAGGTGGGATAATACTCATGTTTGTAAATAATACTTTAAATAAAACATTAGTCCTAAACATGTCTAATTCAACATTAGAAATTTTTGTTTTTCTAAGTGACACAACACTTAAGTTATCTTATTGCTTGCAAAAATATCAACTTATATTATACACAATATATCAATAAATATCAATTAGATACCAATAACTTTTCTTTTATAGAATCCAAACCTTTAAAGTTGTCTTACTTTACCGAATCTGGTGTTCAGTA